TGTAGTAAACTGAAAATAGCTGAATGTTTTAAAAATTTAAATATAGAAGAAGTTGCGGCACTAAATATTTACGTCTTTAGCCGCAGCTTTTCCACACCTCTGGGGTGCAACAGGCAGTGCCGAAAGTTTACACCTGGTCCAGTTGAGTAAATCTTATCGGAGACGGAAGGCCCGTACTGTATTTTCAGATCATCAGCTACAGGGCCTTGAAAAAAGATTTGAGTCACAGCGATACTTGTCAACACCGGAACGAATTGAATTGGCCACAGCATTGAATTTAAGCGAAACCCAAGTGAGACAGTACTTTTGAACGCATATTACAGATGCTTTACATAATTTTTATCAATACGGTTTTTTTAATGTTGTTTTTGAGCAAAAGTGAAGAACAGATGCAGCTAACTTTTTGCCGCTAATATGTTTGATTTTTTCTGACTCTTTTGATGCTTTTTCTGAGAATAGGAGAGGAAACTGTTGGTATCATTCAGTTAACAGACAAATTGTTTGTAGGTAAAAACATGGTTTCAAAATCGGCGAATGAAGCATAAGAAGATTGTCAAGAAAAATAAAGGTGATAGTTGCGGAGATGCAGACGACCAGGATAGTGATGCATCTAGTTAAAAATTTTGTTTGGATATACTGGTTGCCAATCGTTTTGGACAAAACCGACTTCAAACTGCTTCAACAATGAGTAGTAATAGCCGAAGCAGCAGTAGCGGTAAAAAAAGAAAAGAAAAGCAATCTGGAACTGTAGAAGCTGCTTTTTGTTTGTCGTCATCATAAACCTTCAGTGTTTTTCTCTTGTGTATCACTTTCTTTACCGTATTTTTGAATTTGTTTTAAAAGGTAAGCGTACAAGGCAGTAGAGAGCTAAGCGCTTGATGTTGCTGTCAGTTTTGGTCTTCTTCCTGCTTAGATTCAAGTATTTTCTTGGCTAGTCATTCACAACGTATGTTGTTGTTCTTTTTTTTTCTTGTCTTTTATTCTGCAACTTAGAAGTGTGATTCATTTATCTATTTGGCTACTTATTCACATCAAACTTTATCTTTGTTTCATTCTTCTCTTTCTTCAAATCACATACTTTTATGCATCATTGTAAGAAAAAAGTGATGATGACTGTAACTGTGTTAAAAAAAAATATTTTTCATTTTATATTTGGTATTGTACGGTATACATAAGAACTTTTTCTTTTTAAATTGAGAAAAAAAAAGCTTTTTTGTTGAAAATAATTTATTTATTAATTAGTTATTGTCTTTTTGTTTTACACAAACGCTTTTCGTGTTTTGCGGGTTATTTCTTGTCCGTTTCGTTTGTTTTGCTTGTTGTATGTCTTTTTTTTTATTAATGAGTATATGTGTACACTTTGGGGATTAGTTGAATTTTCATTAAGTATCATCATGCAAATTAGCTACTAACTGAACTTTAATGTTACACTGATGTTTCATACTGTTAAAGGAACTTTGAGCGTTAGTTGTAGTATGTGATCATGATCTTTTAGCAGTCTTTTACGCGAACTAACCACATTTGAAAAGAAGCTGTAGCAAATTTGAAGTCAAATAAACATCTTTCTGTTAATGGTTGATCATTTTTTGATCTAATAAATGTAATATCTCAGTGTGTTTTATAGTCTTTAGTGTTTTCTATATTCGAATATTTAGCTAAGCAAAAAAGTCAACAATTTCACCGATTCGATGAACCTGTAAGTGTGTCTGTGCGTGTGTGTGTGTGTGGGAGTGGTGTGTTTTTTGCATTATAATTTAAGCTATTTCATTCAATAAAGTCTGTTTGACGATGTTTTTGAATTGAAATGTATTTATTGATGAACTGATTGTCGTTCACCTCATCAACGATACTGTGAAATGAAGCTTTTTTTTTTTTTTTTTAACATTTAGTGCTAATCAATGTGCAATAATACATTTATGGCACCGTATCTGTCCTGACGAATACACTGCCGATTTGACACACACGCAACGCATATGTTCATTGGCAGCGTTACGCCACCAAAGTGTGAGTTTACTGTGTATGCGGTTTGTATGCAATCATAACTGTCCATAAGTTTAGCACATTTTTTAGCCCTAAATATTTTGATGGAATTTTAGTTAGTTGCATCAGAATGATCAATTGAATTAACAAATGTTTAAAAAAGGTGATTTTGTTGTCTTTTTTTTTTTTT